TTTTACGGTATCTGTATCAATGCTCTTCCAATCTTACTGCTGTAATAAATTTAACTAAATCAATTCCTCTTCATTTCAAATTCTTAATTTAAAAAGTTAATACAAATCAAGAGTTATTTAGCAATGTGAATAATATACATTAATTCGTAGATAAATAATGAACTCCTTATTCATCCTCAGAACATTTTTAAGAGCATTCTGGTTACTGTTCTATTGTGTACAACTAATTACTGCTGTATTAAATTCAACTAAATCAATTCCTCTTCATTTCAAATTCTTAATGTAAAAAGTTCATACAAATCAAGAGTTATTTAGCAATGTGAATAATATACATTAATTCGTTAAGATAAATAATGAACCTCCTTATTCATCCTCAGAACATTTTGAAGAGCATTCTGGTTACTGTTCTATTGTGTACAACTAATTGTTCAGTGTTTTGTTGTTGCTGCTACTTCTGCTGTTGCTATTGTTGATTTGTTGATGATTTGAACTTCCTGCTGCTGTTGTTATTTGTATCATTATCATCATTATTTCTTTACTACAATTAATGATTTATCATCATCATCATTAAAATAGAACATCACAGTGCATTTCCTACATTTGGTAGTGTACTTGATTGAGATGAATAAACATGCACTAAGATGACGATCTGCTATGGGCTGTGGCCCAATTTTGAGCTGCAAAAAGGTTTAAGAGGGCTGCAAAGCTGTCTAGGAGAAAATAATAACAACAATAATACTATTTGACCAATTATAAAAAAAAAATATAAGGTTTTTTTTTTTATACGAATATGAGGTTTATATGAAATTTTGTCACTTATAGAACAGATATCAAATTATTGTATATCATAAGACCATGTCATTTTTAGAACTTCGTGCCAGGTTTTTGTATGTTGGTCCGACACAACTAAGCCGAGGCTTGGTGCCTAGAATCTCAATAAGGCCATGCAGTAAAGAGTTTGAAGAACACTGCACCAAGAGATAAAAAAAAGAAAAGAAAAATCCTACTGCTGTTTAAAAAGTCATTCCAAGTATAATAACTTGATAAGCATAATAATAAAAAATAATGCATTGAAAATAAATGTGATCTAGGTATACAGATATCATATGACAGATAATACTGTGGGAACATGTTGTTTGACAATAGCAAGCCAAAATAATATCCCACCACCTCAAAGAAATATACTAGTATCGGACCAGTCAACCAATTTCAAAGGACAATACCCCTACAGGGACCCTGGTTTGTGCAAGCAAAAAGTTATTTATGCAATGATGGAATAAAATAGTTCAAGTAAATGTTTTTGGTTAAAATTTGGCACTTTTTAATTTGATTTTATTCAAATATAATTTTAAAGATATAAAGATAGCTAGGATACATATACTTTGCTTTTCAAAATAACATAAACATGTAGTTTTAACTTTCAAATTTCTAATTCTAAAAACTTTTCAATTTTGTATTTTATGCACAACCCCAGGGAAGAACAGCTTTGATTGAGCCTGAGTCACTTGTTTTGAAATAAAGTTGTTGTGTTATGTTATCTTTGGTTTATCTGCATTACCATCAACCTGATGATAGATATGTTAGTAAAAATAAAATAAAAATAACATATCTGATGACAAATATGTTATTTTTATTTTATTTTTACTAACTTTAATTTCATATAATTATATGGCCTATTATATCATTAAGGTCCAACCGTCCTTAACTCAAGTTACAGAGACATAGAGTCAGCATTACTGCCTGTTATACAAGAATAAGGCCCAATAAAAAAAATTATTAGTTTATCACCCTTGTGCGCATGCCTTCTATGGGTACTGGAAAAAAAAAATGTTTTCATTTTTTAAAAATTTTATTTTATTTATTTATTTTTTTCATTTATTTTATTAAATAGTTAGTAGATATCGTTTGCATTATCTAAATCATGTTTTACTTTGAATATCAATGCACCAGCAAACAACCCAAGGGTAATATTTGGCTTTAGCAAAATAAAAAATAAAAAAAAAAGCCTCCCTTCCTCATCACTTTTCCTGCCCAGAGAGGGTGATAAACTAATAATATTTTTTATAGGGCCTAACAACTTTTCTTATTAACTTATCTTGGTTTTATGATGGTATATCTATGAAAAATTAATGCCTGCATGTTTTTGCTTTGGTATAATTTAAGGGATATTCCAAAATTAAGATGTTCTGTAGAGAGCCCCGAGAAAAAAAATCACAATAAAAACTATTTCTAGCATAGGAAATGAGAATTACCGCTGCTATTGCTACATAACTATTTACTTAGCTGCATAAGCAATATTATTACAGTACTAATATTAGTAGCCTTGGGTATAACATCATGCAACATATTTTTGGTTAGTTTTACAAATTAAAATTGAACATGGAATAATCTGACAAATAGCTATTACTAGGCTTACTAGAAAAGTATATGACAGTATTCTACTGAATGTCACTGAAGAAGATGATGATGGTGTAAAGGTGAAGCTATCGAATTCCGTCACCCTAGGAATAACACATCAATGAAAAAAAGGTGATAGCTAAATAACTCACTAATAAAGTACACACAATACGGTGCACCGAAAAAATAAGGTGATAGCTAAATGACTCACTAGAAGTACACACACAATATAGAATACCATGCAAAGAAGTAATCCTGACAACTGCCAGCACAAACAGGCCATGGTGGGGTTGGAGGGTTCATTCATTGCTTTTAATTGGAAAATTAAATCACGAAAATAGGAATCAATAACATGTCTAAAGCTAACCACTAAAATTCAAAACCAGTGTGTGTACCGTTTTAGAGTTTGCTTGTTTAGGGACCCAGCATGACATCATAACATTTACGCACAAATACATGAATGGCATAATAAGAAAGTTGATCGCAATCATTCCTAGTGTTCCACATAGGAACCAGAAAGCAGTACCAACTAAAGGGGTTTAACAAGTAATCATGTTCATCATCCAAACTACTCGCAAGAGATAAACCATTAAATAAATTAACAAAAGCAAACCATCTTTTCCCTTTAATTTTTCACCAAATCAGAAACAAGCAACTATTGTAAACTATGAAAACTGGAGCTAAAAATTAGCTAATCATAAGATTGAAATTGAGCTTAAAATGGATACATTAGCACTTATGAAGACAGTATCAATGTCAGAAGATGACTGCATACTAATGAAGTGATAATTTGAGGTGAATATGATACAGATTGACAACCGCCACCATACATCCAATGTTTCTCTGCCTCAGGCGGCTGTATTTCAAATGCTTTCAATTATGTACTCTATAATATCAGCCTGTAACATGTGGCAAAACTGTAAAAATCCATTGTAAAATTAAGTTCAAATTTTGCTAAATAAATTAGCGCCATGGGGAAGGAAACTCGACTGAGAACTCGCAGGACATCAACCAAATCAGCACCTTAATTTACACTCGTTTGCTGCAAAATTCGCCTCAGGTAAAAACTACAGAGTACACTCCTGGCGTTCATTAAACATGAGTTCTGCGAGGCAAATTAAATCCAGTCTATTTTCATCCAATGGGATACAAGTAAACTGAGATTTTGCAGTGTAGCTGTTTTGGAGCCATGCAGATTTGCGAGGATATCAAGGCCCACCGGTTAACAATCGTCATGATTACAAAGTTCCTCGCAATAGGAAACATGTTGTCATCATGTTTCGAAACTGTTTACACCTTCTGGCTTCTTGTACTAAGTGTTTGCTTAGCTGAGTCCGACATGTGTCCATCCTTAGCACTTGCTTTATAATTAGTTGTAGTGCTGTAAGGTCGGAAATTTGAGGGTCTAGCAATGGCTCCAGGCATTTCTACTCATTTTCTTTTGGGCCAAACTGCAACCTACTTATAAGAATATGCTTGTCACAATGTAATTAGTTTAAAAACAACAAATCATTAAAAAGTTAGAAGTTATCTAAATTTTAAGTCATTGTATTCTTCACTGCTTGCAGAGCTTTCCGAAGACACAAGAGAAGAGGTAAGGTGAGATACCTAGAATTGGAAGGATATGATCGAATCATGTGGTAGGATCGTCATGCACTCAAACATGTATAAACATGTATTCCATACATTTTATTGATAAATGTATAATCTGTAAATTCTAAATAAACTAGTAGGCCTATAACTTTTTACAACTACCAATATTGTACCAGTATTAACTTTTAACATATATTGTACATAATTTAAAAAAGGTAAAGTATATATCTTGGTTTCCTGCCTACAAAGTAGAATCCAATTGGAAGCAGCTTAGCTATGAATATGTGGAACAGCACTAACTCTCAGAATACTCAAGTGGAGTAGAGTTATTTATTATGTACTTATATACACATATATTTTAATTATAT